AGACCGGAAAATCAGACTTTATTATCTGCCGTTATGAAAATGTGCTGCGAGGAAAGGGGGGAGCTAAAGCCCCTGGCTTCCTTACCATGTCAACCTGAAACAACTGTCTTGAAGAAAGTGGGCTCTGCGGACGAGCTGAGCTGAAAGATGAACAGCAGCATTATTATCACCATCCTTCATTAGCTTGTCTCAATTCGAAGTCATAAAAACAACAATCTGAAACGAGAAATACGTTTTTTTTGTCGTATATTTAGCATGTAGCAACAATTAGCGCAGCACAACACTTTCCCATCAAACGGAGGCAGAGGAAGAAACATCGTTCAGCTCGCGCTCAGGAGCAAACTCGACACTAACGAAGAGAACAGAACTTTCCATCAAATTGTGTTTGGAGAGGGGATGCACTTCAAAGGGATCTTAACAACAGTGCTGTCTGTTTAATTTACGTTTTCAAGCACATGCCAAATGTAAAAAGCCCTGATTTTGAGGAGTGTATAATTACAGAGTGGAAATAAACGACTATAAATAACCCATCATTACCAGTCTCTCCTGAAGAACATGATCCATACTGAAGGATAATTAAGGCGAAATATTTCTGATCCTCCAACAGTCTGTACGAGGAATGCATGCACGTGTATTCTTCTGTGTGTGCATGCCCTGTATGGTTGTGTGTGTTTCAGACACACGGAGTGTGTGGGTGTGTGCTGAGCGGGAGGCATTCTTCCTAAATATAGGACTGTTGTGCAGAAACGGCTACGCACAAGTTTTTCAGGAGAACTCGAGACCTAACCAGCTTTAATTGGTTTGTGAAATCATTATTAAAACAGAAGCACAACTCGAGGAGACTGGTGCGTATCGGGCCCTGTCAGTGACCCTCGACAACCACAGACACATGGAAATAACTTTGATCAACAAACTTAGCAGACAAGACGATGATAATGAACCTCCATGTTCAGCTGAGCTCTCCTAAAATAGATCATTTTGAGCAGGATGTATCAGACTCTAGGATGATATTTCTAGATTAGGCCAGCTAATTAGTGCCCCGATATTTGGCAAGGGCGCTTCGAGTAAGATCCAAATAAGCATATTGTCCTCATTGCAAAGAGACACCAAAAAGAGCTTTTCTGTGTTCCTCTCTCAGAGCGGAAGAGAACGACTCACTGAGAAACAGAAAAGAAAAGTTTACTTGACTGCTCTCACTGTCTCACTTTGTTATTTCTTTCTATCTTTTTTTTTGCCCGATCAAAACGGACGAATGTCGCTTTGAGTGGCCAAATGAAAGGGAACCAGGCAAACATGCGCGGGAGTCCGTGTTTACTTCTGCTACATCTAGAAGCCAGGCCAACTCTTTCTGTGTCAGCGGGGGTCTGCACGGGTTGTTGAGTTCTTGTGAGTTGTTGCCTAACCGGCGGTGCGTCAGCCAGTCAGCCGGCCATTTGTCTGGTAACTAACAGTGTCGTGCTGCTATTTGTGTTCGAGTGTAACCATAAGCCTCCCCTCCCTTCGTTCTCCCTTTCACAACTGAATCGTCCTCGTCCTCTGGCAAGAATCGTTGTCTTCCCGCAGCCTCTTGCTCCAGCAAAGAAAAGCCTGTGACCGAGGCGTTCGTGCCTTTTACTACCATTGTGTCGCTCGAACGAGGAGCGGGCCAAAGCTAGTGAGCTATACACGATGTAGCATGGTGTGAAGGTAGCCCCGCTGCGGCTGCTGGGCTCCACTGACTTGTTGTTACTTGCTGTTGTTGTGTGTCTTCTCCCACATCTATAGGACTTAGGAGGAGGAAAGTCCATGATGGCTTTTGTATTACCAGAGCAACACTCCTGAAGCTAGATAAATGGATTAGAGGAGCACAGATATGGGTGGGCATCTTTGGGAGAAAATACAACGGACATGTTGAAAGGATAAAAAAAAAAAGAAGAGGGGAGTTTGAAAAGAAGAAGAAACAGACGTTTGTGTTGTTGGACAAGAGGTCGAGTCTAAGAAAAGCCTGCTTCTGTCCCCAAAAAAAAAAGACAAGACGGTGATAAACTTTCCTCCCGTGCAATCACACCCCCCACCCTGCTCTGCACACTCTTCCTGTTCCTCATGCACACACAAAGTGTCACAATGCAACGATTCAGCGCCAAAATGAATGGATTGCTCCAGCATGACACGTCCCAGTTTCAGAGGGAGATGGTTCTTGTTCGGCAACAAAGGGCCTTAAGGCGAGCCGGGCCGAGGCAGAATACTAAACTGTGTTGGGGTCAACAACTTATTTTCTCTGCAAGAGCTGAGATTTACACAAACTCTTGAGTTGGATCAGTTCAGAGCTGAAGTGATCGTTTTTAACCGTTTGGAAAAAGTGATTTCAGCGGTTAATAAAAGGCGTGTTTGTTCAGCGTTGATAAAAATTTGTGCTGTACGAAAAAAAAGTGTCTAACCAAAAAAATAAAAATAAGTCGTTCATGATTTGCAAATAAATGCTTTTTTTTATTTTATTATTTTTACACAGTGAAAATATTTGTATCCATTTTTTTTATTAACATAAATATACTGACTGATCCCTAAATATTGGTGTTAATTTAAAATGTACAAATAGGTAATTGGAGCTGTACTTACAGCACCACTTTGTTGTTATTATAATTATTTTGTTGTCTTCATAGGAGCAAAAAGCTTCAGAAGTTATTCAGTGCAAGTTCAGCTATTCCTATTTTAACATCATTTTAAGGCAGTAAAGTGTGTGATTTCACAGAGCTTTATATTTAAATTTAATATATTCATTTAAACCTCGTTTTTTCTTAATTTGATAGTATTTATTCCCCCTCCCAGCTTGCATCGTGGCCCACAGCATCCAGGAGGAAACGGCTGGAAGTGACAGACTAATTATCAGCTTCAACTGTGCTCATTAGCTACAATCCACTATATCTACTTACTAAATGAATAATTTTGTATTTATTATTATGGGAACGCAGCATTATGACCTGCAGCTAACACATCACTGCTAACCTCATGCTGTTTGTGTACAAAAGAAATAAATGGACAAAGAGAGGTTATTTAATTGTAGCCTTAAAAGCTGCCTGTCAGAAGGTGGTGTGTGTGTGTGTGGGGGGGGGACTGCACACACCTGCTGTTTCTGTTACACGTATTACACTCGTCATCAACAAACAGAGACTCGGTGAAACTCATTAAAGACAGTTGTGTTTTGTCATGAATAAATGTGCTGGGATATTTGACAAGTTTTTAATGAGGAAAATAAAATAAAATGAATCAAATTACTCGTTTAAGTTGTGAATTTGTGAGGAAAAAAATGTGTTTATGTGCCTATAAAGCAAAACAAACAAACAAAGGCTTTTGGTAATATTTCAACATGGGGCTTTACTATGAGAATAAAAAAAAAAAGTTAAATTAGCAGACAGATAAAAAATAAAAACACTTTTTTCCAGGCTCCCGTTTTTACTTAGACAAATTTATAACAATGTATTAACATATAAAACTGCACATTTTAATTTATTATTATTTAAAAAAATGTATTGCAGGTTGGTTATTTAAATACAAAGTATTGATGACAAGTGTTTTTCAACTTTTCTGTCGTTCTCTCTCAGCTCCACGTGTTTCGATCACTTTGTTTCTTTTTTTCTCGCGTGAGTCTCTAGTTTGTCTTTTTATTTTGCAAGTTTTCCAGTAATAAAGAGTGAAAAACGGAGTCCGGTTTGCTCGAGTTTGTCTCTGCCGCCTATAGAGGTCGCTGTGATCTGCAGAACCAGAGCCGCGGCTCCACAGGTCTGGACCGCTGCAGGAACCGAACCCATCCGGACCACACGGAGAAGCTGCTCGCGCTGCCCTTCAAAAACCATTTCAACTCATAAAGTCCTTTATTTTATAACACGTGCACGAGACTCCGAACTTTAGCACATGTGCGAGGTTAAATAACACGATCGCTTTATAAATATATGAATGGGACTTCTCTATCGTGTTGCAATAAATCAGTGCTGACTTGTAATTACAAAATAAAATAAAAGCTGCTTTTATGGACTAATGATTATTATCAGCCTCGGAACAGACACGGAGCCCTAAAAACAGCCAGAGTAATGTCATCCTCCCTCCTTCTCACCCCCACAAAAAGAAGAACAAAATTAATAATTTATCTTCCAATCGACTTCTCCCTCTGACAGATTAGATTTTAACCATTTGATTTTGTTTGGACTGGGCGTTCCCATATTATTACTTAATGACGTTCCCAGCTGCTCCTGTCCATTTTCTGTCACCAGCAACCATCTGGACTCTTATTAGCACCTCAATGCAGCCACGCCGCTTTCCTTTCACACTGGAATCAAATTAAAGCCGCTTTGCGTGCACGCTCACACCACTTCTCTTTCTTCAGCTCTCCTGGGTTACAAACACAACTGTAGCCCGGCAAAACACCTAAACAAATAATAATAATGATAATAATAATAATAATAATAATAATAATAATAATGTAATAATAATAATAATAATAATAATGGACTGAAAAGGTGGAGGTTTCTCTATAATTTCGTTTTGTTTATTAAGCAAAATATACGATCTGGACAAATTCCTTCAATGTTTTCCTATTTACAAATTTAAATCAGCTGGTATTTACATGACAAAATAACACCAAAAGCACATGGTAGAGACAAATATAATAATAATAATAATAATAATAATAATAATAATAATAATAATAAT